CTTTCCCTGGTTTAACTTATATAAAGTATTGCCAGATGAGATAGATTTTGCACTCAGGCTACCCTGGAAAAATATGTTAGCTCTCAAAGGCTTTATTATCAAATCCTGGAGTTTTCAAGGCAAAAAAAAAAAAAGAAAAAGGGCAGAGGAAGGGCAGGGGGGAGACAGACAGATGAATGGGCAGAGGAATTATTCTATAAATTAAAATTTATATGCTGAAATAAGAACACTGATAGCAAAGCCAGCTTCATTTATCCAGTCCCTTTCAAGGAGTCTAAAGTCACTTGAAAGAGCACTTCCCTCACAGCCGTGCTCAAAAGATTGCCAGTTACAGCCCTGCTGAGAGGATGGAATTTCTTTGGAGTCACAACTGTATGTCTGCCCTCGCAATAATGGGCAAGGTACGTGCCTTTCGATTAGGTTACAAAAAAAGAGCTCTAAACGGGAAAGCTTTGTTCCCACACATCTGAATTTGTTCAGTATCAAAACAAAAAGATAAGCTTGTGTTTGCATCAAGTTGACAAATTCAGAGGTTAATTGCTTTTAAGCAGGCAGGTCAAAAGGATACCTAAACAAGGATCCTACTTAAGGAAAACACATTTGTAAATGCAATACAAAGAGCTTTCAAAGATACTATGGGGAGATACAGCACTGTCCATGATGGGCACATCTGTACAACCTGGCACCTACAGAAATTGCTGTCAGACGTGCCTTGGCAGCCTGAAAACCTACAGTAAAAATTAGTGAGAGAGAGAAGCAAAATACCCGTGGGGTGGATTCAGTTTGAAAGTTAAGCATCTGATTTAAGTTAGTCAGTTAGACTCCATCTACAGCAAACAGGAGACTCCAGTATGGCATTTACCCCACCTATCTGAAAAAATATCTCCCAGGAGAGAGCAAACCACCCTGCACAGATGCTGATCTCTCTTGACTAGAGAAGGGCACTGGACTTCTAGTATACAACAACTGCCTAAATGGTGGATGGCTTAAATTGAGTAAGAATAAGCCCATCCCTGCAGGTTTAATAACCTCAACATTTTGTTTCAGAGGACACCAATATTATTGCTCTTTATGCATCAGTCAAGAAGAACAGCCCCTGTGGTACAAATGCATCAGTCCTAGATGCAGTCCCTTAACTTCACTACAAGTATTCTTCAGCTTAAAATGAAGCATACTATTCAGAATCCCTGAGCTCACATCCTTACCTCTGGGAAGTATGTAACTGCTCCTCTGGATCCAGCTACGCAGTCACACATCTTCCCAGTGGGTGCTACAATATCTAAGTTACAGCATTGGCTGCTAAAGGCCAAATACTGACTCCGACTGCTTGGAAAGGCTGGATGAGCTGGATAGCTGCTATAGCTCTGCTCTGTGTAACTCCTTCGAATGGACTACCGTCCAATCAAGAAGCTGACTTCCACTGCCCATCCCTTCAGGCCAGGGATAAAATATAAGAAGCCATGAAAGGCTGCTCTGCTTTCTAGAAAAAGAAAAGGAAACAAATGAGTAACAGAATGATAAACTTTCCAGAAACTAGCGAAAAAAAGGCCTTCAAGTTTTCCACTGCAATATGCTGCTGCTGCTGGCTGATAGACCACAACATCACCTGGCATAGGCGCTCACCCTCCTGAAAAGAGGATGAGCACTCCATCATGGGACTTGACTGGTCCACCCGCAGAAGCACTGCTCCCCCCTCTGTGAGGCCAGAGGGGAAAGTTTTGCTCCCACAGGACTTTATTGTCTGCTTCTTAAAAATGCTGTAATCTTTTTAACTTTTACAAATGCTTTAACTCAGTAGAAACTATTTAAAGCAAGCACGAGAAGGGCAATTGGTCAAAGGACTGCAGCATGCTTAATCTTTTTTTTCTGAGTTCCCGTGCACATTTGAAATGACTTTTGTTCCATTTGCAACCCACATGCTGACACAGCATCCCTCCCCTTTTCTGTTCCCAGATCCTGTTATGAGTTTAGTCAATAAAAAGACAGATATTCATCTCTTTTCAAGTACAAGAACATGCTTTTGAATAACTCAATATGTGATACTGTAACAGTACACCAAGCCAGTCCTTGTTTTAATCAGTTGTATCAGCTCTTAGAGTGGAGCTGCCATACACATATCATCACCTTGCTCATTTACCTCATGGGTATGTAAATACATAGGGCTAAATTCAGGCTGCCTGCTCTGCACATCGGGGAAGAGGTGAACCCCAGGGACAAGGCTGCCTGACCTGGGTCCCTCTGAACCTCTGGAATCCACATGCTGAGTCTGCCATGCAGCCTCCCTCCTTGCAGCAACAGACCTCTTGGCTGGTGTCTTTTAGCACGTATCCAGCCCAAATATCCTAGCTAGAGCTGGGAATGTTACTTGAGGAAGGAAGGAAGGAAGGGAGGAAGGAAAGAAGAAAGGAGAAGGAGGAGATTTTACTACGGAGTGACACTCTATAAATATATATAAACAAACAGGCAAAGCAGGGAGGAATGCCCCTGGCTTCCTTCTTGTTGTAGGACCAAGGAGCAGCTCCCAGAGGCAGGAATTAGCAGGCTTCCCAGCTGTGTCCCAGGAAGAAAGGAGTTAAGAGGAGGAAGACAGAGTAAGGAAACAGGAATGATAAGCCAGCAGCCAGACTGACAGGAAAGCATGCAGAAGTGGATAGGAAGTGGATGCTGGGGTTCAGGGGGATAAGCAGCAATGGCAGAACCAGCAATGGACAGAATCAGCACGACTACCTGAGAGGTAAGGGAGGACCAAAGGCCTAGAAGAGACAAGTCTGGTCTTGTGCAGTCCAGGGAAAATAAAGCATACAAGGGCTGGTTTAGGGGCTGGACACATAAACGAACATCAGGCTTGTGCATGCGTGAGGGTGAAATGAAACTGAGCTGTCCAACAGGAGCAAGGAGATGAGACAGTGCATGCAGTCATTTCCCACCTGCCATGGACACAATATAGCTCATACATGAAGAAGCTCGTCCAGGCAAAGGGTTATGTGTCTGTGAAACGGTGGTGGTTGAGAGGAAAGGCAGCATTCAGAACAGTCTCTTCGGTAAGGGATGGGTTACATGAGGAATAGGGGCTTGTTTGGTGCATGATCTCAAGAAACATGACCTGGTCTGCAAGCACGTAACAGAGCAGTCAGGGAGAATCGCATTCACTAACCTTCATAGATGGTGATGATATGAGGGTGGCTGAGGGATGACATGATCTCAATCTCCCGTCTGATGTGAACCATATCTTGTTCATCCTTAATTTTGTCCTTACGAATGGATTTTATTGCAACCTATAAATTCAGGAAATCAAGCATTATTCTTGGAACTTAACAGATGCACATAATTCATTGAGGAGAGTTCAAAAAATAAATACAGATGTTAGATGTTGGCAGAACAATGAATGACCAAAACAAAACTATAAAACACAAACCTCCATGCCCAAGCTCCCTCATTTTATAGTAATAAATACACTCTTGTTACAGCAATGGGTGACAAGAAGTTTCAGGGTCTTTAGGTCTGAGGACTTCACTGAGGGAGAACACAGCATCTTTTGCAAAGATCTCTGTGTTAACCTAAGCATTCTCCATCTGAGGCAAATAGTAAAACTCCCAAAAGACTGTGATGTGAAGTAAAACTGCTTAGACATGATTGCATCTGACAATTTCAAACAGAAGCTTTAGAGACTATTTCTCCAAGATAAAGTTGAAATCTCTGATGGAAAAGAGGCAGGGAATCCAGGGTGCTGATTACAAATCTACATTTGTCCATGTTAATGCACAGAGGATCACATTAACACAGGTTGCTCCACAATTTTCTAAAGCAGGCAAACTGCTCAGGAGTCATGACTTACTTAAAAATCAGAAGAAATAAATCTTTGAAATGCACGTCTAAACTCGTCCTCGTGTAAACCCAAGGCTTTCAGGTCCTACCTAGCACTTATGCAATCACTGCAAAACCATATCCTTCCTGCATCCTTCCTCAATCAGCAACCTTTTTTCAAACACATCGTGTGACTGGATATCTTTCCAAAAGGCAGGGTGGGAACAAAGGAAGTGATAGCTGAACTCGCAATATAAATTCAAATTATAACAGCCCTTGTGAGTGTGTTATGTGTGTTGCCTGTGAAAAAAGGGCTTATCTGAACAACACCATAAATAATCACAGAGATCAGCTCATGCCCTGTGAGAAATGCAGAAGCCAACAATGGGGAGAAGCTGGGGGGAGAGGGAAGGCAAGGGCATTGTGCATACTGAATGGCAGAATGGCCTTTATTATACTCAATATTTACCCTGCCTTATTTTTGTAAGCCAAAGTTCAAGGAATAAATTACTAGCTAGTTTAAAATCAACACTATGTCTTTGAGAAACATCACTGACCTGCAGAGATGACCACCCTTTTATGGGTAAACAAAACTTTTGTCATTCTATGCAGTCAACTACTGCAGACCTCTCCTGGGAAAACATTTGCAAATCTGTGATTTACATGATTTCCCTAGTTCCTTCAGAAAAAAATAATTTCACCGCTTACTTCAGTAATTGCAAGTGGCATTGTAACCAGTATTGTCTTCATTATATGATGTAGCATCGAGGATATTGAAGAAAGAAGGGAAAAACTTACAATATTGTAAAATTGAAACGTACATAAACAGGAGCTTGTTTAAAGGATCAGGTTTCCTTCAATTCTGTAAAGCAACATTGTTCAAAAACAGCATTAAGCACATGCCCCACCCCCTTGAATTCCCAAAGATTTCAGAGCATGCTTAAAATTAAGCTCATACTCAAGTGCTACCTTACTTTGGGAGAGCAGAACAAAAAGGAGAACTCAAGGGACAAACTGATTTGTATGCTAGAACCAAATAATTTCTTTTCTTCCTCTTGACCCAAACATTCGTGATAGAAATTGTAAAACAACATAACTATGGTCCTATTTACATGGTACATACTTCTAGCAAAGGTAGTACAACAGCTCTTAATTGAATGAATGATCAAGATAATCTGCAAGTCATTCTAGAGACAGAGAAGGCAATTAACAGAAGATGAGGTTGGATTTTTTCCCCTTTTCATGTTTGCACTGGGACAGGCTGCAAACGCAAGTACACCCCGTTAGCAAGAAGGAGGTGGGTGGCTCTTGGAGCCATATGTGCATTCCTGAAACGAACAAATATAGACATGGGTAAAAACACATTTTTTATTAAAAGAAAGCCTTGTACTTGGCTCTCAGGAAGAATTTAGAAGGGTTTCATTGTCAAACATACAACAGGGAGCAAATTCTTCACCATTCATGGCTGGTAAAGTAATAACAGTACCCCAGAGGGCATGCCAATCTCCTACTAACTTGACTCTGTGCTTCACAGACAGGACTGTTGTATGTCTTCACATAATTACTGCAAATGGCCTCCATGAAATAAATGCATATATGAAAACATATATAGTTTGAAACAAAAATGCAAATGTGATTGAAAAGCGTGGTGGCATTGTGTAAATACATGTTTGGATTAATCTTCAAATGCAAACAGATGTGTTGACTGGGAACATGTTTTTCACCAGGACCAGAAAGTTTACAGTCTCACCACCCGTGCCAAGAAGTGGCAAAGGCACCTAGGACCTTTAATTTGCAAAGGTTATTCCTAGAAGTTTAACCAAATTTTGAAGATGGTATGTAAACTCTCCCGACTGCCTCACTCAACAAACCATCTGATTATTAAAGGCTGATTTCTGACACCTGTCCCCATGTTGAAATGCTATTTTTCCCCTCTGAAAGAGTCTCAGGGAAGTGAAAAGTTCAAAGGCACCTCAAGAAATACTTTCTACACCAATGCTGTCTTCCTGGCAGCCTGCATAATCCCTGAGTGGACAGGCTCTTCATCTCAAAGGCTCTAAAGAGCACACAGCCGTGCTGGTGACCTGGTCCAAAGGGACAAACAGCAAGTGATCACTGTCAGCAGACTGTCACTGTCAGAGGTGACATCTCAAAGAAGGATTAATGGAGCAGCAGGAAAGCACCAGTTCCAGCTCTTCCCCTCTAAGAAAGGGATTTCTGACACCCAAGCATCTTTCACCTGCATCAGTCTGCTCAGACCGTACTTGGGCTTAAGTCTACTGATGTGAAAAAACTAACACAAACAAGAAAGCAGTCCAGTTTGGATTGGTTTTGGTCCTTTTTTAGTATTTCCTGAAACCGTTTTGAGTCATGATCACATTTTAGGTACTAAATATACATTTTCATTTCTCTGAGCAAAATAAGATCCCTAGCTCTATGTTACAGCATCAGGCTGTAAAACAAGTCTCTCCTCCAGGTATTCTAAAATATCAAAAATGGAATTTCTTTTATGAAATGTATTTTACTCAGAAATATATTCCAGAATTTTCAAAATGCGCTTATGCTTTTAGCTCCAGACAGAGCTGGCTCCATTTTTCAAAACCCCACTTACAGGACTGCTGCCAAATATGGTGCATGATGAACCTGAACAACTTAGAGTAGTAAGAAATAATCTCAATTGAGAAGTACCTTATGAAAGAACTTGTTTGTTCATTCTTTAGGTCCTTTTCTTTCTTGCTTGCCAGCTTCCCTCTCAATGTAACAGCTCCACTGTGTGCAACATCAAAATTTATTAAGGGTCACAGCCTATGAATCAAGAGTAGGACAAACGCAACATGCTTTTTTACATCAGCTACAGTCACTACTCCAAATATTCCAGCTCAAGATCTGCAGCAAAAGTGCTGTTATTCCCTTCCGTACTCTCAAAACACTGTACTTACACCTCTACCACACCTTCTCAATGTATTTCACTGGCTTTAAGACTTAGATAATTTAATCATCATATTTTTAGTAACTTCACTAGCAGAGGTGTTTGTATTTTTCCTAGCTTCTTAATGAGAATTTCATATAACTCCAAGACTTTGCACTCAGACAGAGTAACAGATCAGCCCAGCCAAACAGGCTCAGGTTGACCCAAAGCCCCTACAGACACAGTATGCTATCTGGCAAAACACTTGAGCACATGCCTAACTTCACACATACGAGCAGGCCATTGACTTTTGTGGGGAAGCTCACCCATGTAAATTTTAGTATGTGCGTAAGCACCAAAGTCACAGCTCAAAACCAGGCCATGCGATGGTCCCTCCGGGGGTCAATACTGATGCTGCTCTGATGGAAACATGGTCCCACACACAGGCTGGGGCACAGGGAGACAAAAGAGCACCAGAGATAGACTGAAGCCATCTCCATCTGCACTGCCAGTTCTATTACCAGTCTCTGCTCAGAAGCAGGTAGAGAGAATACCCTCTCCAAAACATATGGCACAGTTTACCTCTAATACTGCCAGGCATTTCCATACATCTCTGCAAGAGCACAGCCCCCTCTGCCCTGCTGTTCTGCCTTCCAGGAGCACATAGGAAAGAGGGAGCACAGCTTAAGGCCTACCATCCCTCTGTGAGTCAGCTTGCAGAGTCTGCTGGGCAGGAAGTGTGGTGAAATAAGCTGCTCTCCTCAAGGCTGCAATAAATTACCTGTCTCCATTTGCTGGAAAGAGGATTTATACTCATTCTCTGAACTAGTGTAGAGAGATTACTAAGTATTTTCCAACACACTTCATGCTTCTTTGCATTTGTTTGGTACAAATAACTTGGACTATAAATACTTCAAAAAGATGAGAGTTGCAAAGGTTTCTGTACATTCAGTCCTATCTGTAAGAGAAATGTCTCTCCTTCATGAGCTTCCCAGCTGCTGGGCAGAGCAAAATGGGTGGAATTTTCTTTTTACAGAGGCAGATCAAGACCATCACATACAGAAAAATATCTCAAAGTCTAAACCTCTGGCAAAGGGCATGGCAAGCAGTAGATGCCCATTTCCAGATCAAATCTCTGTGTCTGCTGAGTCACTGCTGGCATCATCGTTCATGGGATGAGCAATAAAGCTGTATTTCCAAAGCGTGAAGCTGCTTCTCTCGATTTCAGGAGGATGGTTCACATGTTTGTCTTAATCTAAAGAACCTATGTTTACCTCATTTCCAGCCAAGATGTGTCAATATAAACAAAGGTAGAATTAGCCACAGAGCAGAAAATCATAGATTTTCAGTGACTGGCTGGCACTGTAATCGAAGCTGACCACCTGAATGCCGCAGTAAACCTCTGAAATTTCCCCAGCCATTTCTGTATGCAGTACATTCAGTCCCACTGAAAACAATCTTCTACTCTTCATTATCTATCCAGGCTATTTTTAGGACCATGGTGAGATATGAACAAACTGATTTTTTCCACCATGGGGGCTGTGACTTTTAAACTGG